GCACTATTTGATAGGGCTGAAGGGGGGAGACGATACCGCGTCGGCTGGCATTGCATTATTGCATGCATCAGATGACCAATCGCTGAGGAAAACGTGAAGACATTATGGCAATTGTTTGACCCCCCCTGGCCCCCAGCAAAACGCAAAACTGAAGGGAGCGGATGACCCCGGCCTGGGCTGGGGGGCGCGTGAAGTCTATGTTAGCCAGCGTGGACCCCAAACAATGTGCTTCTAGCAATCGATGCTGTGCAATCTATGTGGTGCCGTCTTTGTTGTGCAATCTATGTGGTGCAGTATTGGAGGTGAGAGGGTGAGATCGAAGTGCAACGGAGAGCCTCCCACCGGGAAATCGATTTCGGTTTCGGGTTCGTGTCGCGCGCGCGGGCGAGGCGAAGCTGCGTGGGCGGACAAAGGGAATGAACCCTCCGCTGGCTAGGGCGCGGCGAGGACAGAAGTCCGCCCCACCCAGCCGCGTGGCGGGCGGGTGGGGGGGTGTCCCGCCGTGGTGTCCCGATGGTGTCCTGGTGGTGTGTCGATGGTGTCCCGCGTTGTCCCGCCGCGGTGTCCCGATGGTGTCCCGTGGTGTGTCGATGGTGTCCCGCGATGTCCTGCGGTGTCCCGTGGTGTCCCGTGGTGGTGTCCCGTGGTGTCCCGTGGTGTCCCGTGGTGTCCCGTGGTGTCCCGTGGTGTCCCGCGGTGTCCCGCGGTGTCCCGCCGTGGTGTCCCGATGGTGTCCCGTGGTGTCCCTTTGTGGTGTCCTGTGGTGTCCCGTGAGATCGATAGCGAGATCGATAGTGGAGCGGATAGTGAGATCAATTGTGAAACCGATAGCCAAATCGATAGTGGCATCGAAGGTGAGACCGACTGTGGAATCGGTAGTGAGATCGATAGTGAGACCGGTACTACAATCAATGATGCGGCCGATGGTGCGATCAATAGTGCTACGGAAACTGAAATCGATGGTGAGGTCGATCGTGGAATCGACAGTGGGACTGATAGTTGGATCAATCGTTGGACCGATAGTGGGTGGGTAATGATATCGATTGTGCGATCGGTCGTAATATCGATAGCGAGATCGACAATAAGACAAATACTGATATCGATAATGGGGTCGAGTGCGATGTCGATTGTGAAATCGATAGTGAGATCGATACTGGGATCGATCGAGATATCGACAATAAGACCGATTGGGTGAGACGTTGGTGCATCCCCTCGAACCTCTGTATGACCCGAAAATGGTTGCATGGATCCGTTGTGCAACATGGGTTGCGCAATCTATGTGGTGCCATCTTTGTGGTTTCACATATGTTGTGCACGCTATGCTGTGCAGTCTGCGCAAGGCAATCCACGCGATGCAACATACGCGGTGCAATTCCCTTCGCCGATGTTGAAGTGTCCAGGTCCACTGCTCGCGCAATCATCCCACCCACCCACCCGCAATTTTGAGTTGGGAATCCCATGCGGCAGCGGTCGCGATGACTGCGTGGCGCTGGCTGGCGCATCGGCGAGGCCGCGGTGGCGCAGGGGCGCGCGCGCAGATGTTTCTGCGCACCACGTTGCGGAACCACTGGCGGCTCATATGTTCGCTGGGAACGGGGGGGGGGGTCGGGAAGGGGTCCCCCCTGGAATTACACAAATTCACACCTGCTGGTATTGGCGATGGGGCAGAATCACGCGTGGTACTATCCCAATGAAACCGATAAAAACCGGGCGGAGAAAAGAATCGATTCCTTTAAGACCAGAGAAAATATACGTTGCGCAATCTTTGCGGTGCAATTCGCCTTGCCATACTTCAAGTTGCCAATTCCACTGCTCGCGCAATCATCCCACCCACCCCTTCGCAATTTGGTTTGCAACTCCCATGCGGCGGCGATTGCGATGACTGCTTGGCGCTGGCTGGCGCATCGCTGCGGCCGCGCTAGCGCACGCAAGCTTGCGCGCTGGCAAAGCGGCCAGCTAAGCTGGCGCGACCGACGCGGCCGCGGTGGCGCAGACCGCTGGGAACTCCCCTTCGCGTCTCGCAGGCCGCGCTGGCGCGCACGCACTTCGGAGCGAGTCGGTGGCTCGGGCGGGCGCCGTATCATGGTGGCGTCGCGAAAAGCGGACACGATGAAGATAGTAGCGAAGATTGTGACGACTATGGCGGCGACAGGGGCAAGGCCAATGACGGCGCCGATGCTGGTCACGCCGGGGCCGAAGATGGTGTTCACGTGTCTGCGATGAAAGGCTTTGGAAGGAAACCAACATGCGGTCGCGGCCGACGCACGCGAGTGGCCCGCGTGATGTTGTTCGACAGGCATCGCCCCTCCCCCGCACCCCCCTTTCAGCACGCGCGCAAGGGCATTCGAATGATTTCGACATATGCGCGCACGGGGGGGCGCGTGGCCCCATGCGACGAACATGTTGGCAACACGATAGCCGTGACAAGATGCAGCAAGAGCGCGCGCAGATTGTTCTGAAAATCACATTGCGGAACCACTGGCGGTTCACATGTGTTCGGGAGCCTCGATCTTAAAACCTTTTTCTGAACCTGAGATTGTTGATGGATTGTTGGCATGTGCGCCCGAAGCCGCGCGCGTGCACACTTCGTCGCACATGTTGCAACGAATTTTTGGACATGGGCTACAAGTGATAAACGAGTGCGCGCGCATAGTGTCATTTGACAGGGGTGGGAAAGGGGTCGAAAAATTGCTCCCCCTGGGACCGTATGAATTCAGACTTGGATTAACGATGGTGCAGTGCAAAATCACGTGTAAACTGCACTACCCCCCCCCCCCCAAAAAAAAAAAAAAAACGAGAAAGTCGATGGGGGTAAAGTCTATCTACACCGTTCTAGAAGACTATAGCAACAAAAGACCTATGGTGTGCAGTCTCTGCGGTGCTATTCGCTTTGCCGGACTTCCAGTTGCCAGCTCCACTGTTTGCGCAATCATCCCACCCACCCACCCGCAGTGTGGGTTGCAACTCCCATGCGGCGGCGATTGCGATGCGTGCCTGGCGCTGGCTGGCGCACCGCTGGGGCCGCGCCAGCTCGCGCAAGCTAACGCTCAGAACGGCCTGCCAGGCTGGCGCGACCGAGGGGGCCGCGGTGGCGCAGACCGCTGGGGACTCCCCTTCGCGTCTCGCAGGCCGCGCTGGCGCGCACGCACCTCAGTGCGAGTCGGTGGCTCGGGCGCGCGCGGTATCATGGCGACGTGGACGAAGGCGGACGCGATGATGAAACTAGCGGCGATGGTGACGATGATGGCGACGACAACCGCAAGGCCAATGACGGCGCCGATGCTGGTCACGACGAGGACGACGATGGTGCCCACGCCTCTGTGATGAAGATGTTGGACGGGTTTCGACATGCGCGCGCGGCCGATGCGCGCAAAGTGCCCGCACGGTGTCGCTTGACAAGGACCACCACCGCCACCCCCAGCAGGCGCGCAAAGGGCCCTTCGAATGATTCCGGCAATGCTCTCCCGGGGAGCCCGCGCGTCTCCTCTGACAGCATACTGAAACAACGCATGGATGCCCTAAAAAATCGCAAGAACGTACGTGCAGACTGTGGGGGAAAATCAATAATAATAATAATAATAAACATACATGTTTATAACTACTTACATGTTGCGGAACCGTTGGTGTCTTATATGTTGTCGGGAACCTCGATCTTGGAATCCTTCCGAAACCTGTGGCTGCTGAGTAAGTTCGACAGGCGCACGCGACGCCGCGCGCGTGCGGATGTTGCCCTTTTCCGTTGCAAATTGTTCTTGGAAAATGCTCAATTGTGATGGACGAGCGCGGACGCATAGCAATATTCGACTGGGATGAAGGGGAGGGGGGCGATAACGACGTGGCTGGGATAGTACAAAGTCATATTCAAAATGGACGATGGGGCAGGATCATATGTAAGTTATACAATCCCTGGGTTTGGGGACCAAGCCGGAGGGGCGGTGGATCCTAATTCTTGTTTTTGAAAGCGGAAACCAATGAACGGCGACGGCGAGCACGGAGCAGCCAGACCGAAGTTCGGGGCCAGCTCCTGAAAAGAGAAGCAAGAACCCCAGAGTGCGAGCTCTGTCTGTGCAAAAGGGAAAATCTACAACAGACCCCACGTGGACGCCCACGGGCGGCAACCTGGCAAATAACAGAAAACACACACACACACACACACATACATACGGCGGGTTCGTATCGTGTCGACCCTGGCGTTGGCTCCTGACACCGCGGGGATCGTTAAAATTTGTACGATCGGTCGTGTCCGAACATGTCGTGTCGGTTGTGTACGCACGGGCGGCGTTCAACATTAACCACCTGCGGCGGGGCCACCGCCGGCCGACACGACGCAGAGCTACCGTACACGCACACACGCACTCTCTCTCACACACACACATATATATATACACACACAAGCACACACAAACACACTTTCGTCGGCGACGAGGCAGAGGCAGTCCGCACCAGCGTGGGACGAATCGGGGCAACCGATCGGCAAATGGTCCTGCGTGCAAGAGAGAGAGAGAGAGGCGAAGACGCGGGAGGCCGCGCGAAGGGTGGAGGGGGAGGGCGCTTCACGCACTCACACACTTTTGCGTCGGCGGCTGGGCAGAGGGTGACTGCTCAGGCGGAATGGCAACAGGGGACACGCTGTATGCACTCACACACACACACACTTTTAGCGTCGGCGGATAGGCACAGGGACTGCGCTGGCGAGTAGAGCAAAACGGGGTGCGTTAGGCGAATTGAGCCACCATGCAAAAGGGAGGGAGGAGAGCACACACACACACACACAGCAAAACAAAAAGAACAAAAACAAAAACAAAACCTTGTCCACGAGGCGCCCGCGAGCGGCCAACAGGCGAAGATCCCCGGACCGGCCAGCGCACGGGGCGCCCACGAGGCGGCCACGAGGCGAGAGAACCCCCGGCGGACCCTCTGGCCTGCGGAAGGAGAGCGAGGCGATGGAGCCCGCGTGAGGGCGGGCACGGCACACGTGGGAGGAGAGGGCCCCTTCGCTCCTGGTAGGGGTCCAGGAAGTCGTCGTCCTCCTCGGCGTGGTCCTGACAAGGGATGCCAGGAGGAGGGGGAGGAGGAGGAGGAGGAGGAGGAGGAGGAGGAGGAGGAGGAGGAGGAGGAGGAGGAGGAGGAGAAGAATGATTATGGACATCTCAATGGTTCCAGGGGGGTCCAGAGGGTCCCAGGGGTCCCCAGGGGGCCCCCCGCGACTCTCCTCTCCTCGCCTCCTCCCCCTTTTCCTTGGAGGGCCTCTCGTGGGGCATGTCCTCCTACAGGGGGATCGTGGAAGAACAACAGAAAATAGCCAAGAAATACTTTAAGAGGGCACGAAAAATCGTCCCCAGACTATTGTTCGGATACTTTTGAAGATTCCTCCTGTAGAGGGACACGCCCGACTCAAAGTTGTGAATCTGCACCACGTCCTGGCCAAGACCAGCCCAGGATCGGTGCATGCGCCCTCCTGGCTTGGCCAGGGAAGCAGGTGCACCGATCCTGGACCCAGGGATGGGCCTGGCCGGAATCGGTACATGCGCGTACCCAAGCATCCGATGTCTGGATCTGTTCAATACTCGGCCTCCTGAAACACATAATTACCCTTCGCCCAGGGCGGGCTTTTCGTTCCGAGTCGTTGCCAGTCACGAGCTTCAAAAACGGCCCTCAGAGGTCGAACGGGGCGAGAAACCCCCGACATGATTATTGTTGCTCACGACGCAAAACGTCTGAGAAGAGACATCTGGCGCCTCGAGACCATCGAAGCGGCCCGTCTGCTGCCGCTTTTGGCCCCTGGGCATCGGCTTCGGCCCTCGGGCCCGCCAACACCAACGCCTCGGGACGGCAGGAATTGGCCCCGGGGGAAGGGACGGAGAGGCCCCTGGGCCCACTCGCCGAAAAAATCTGGGCGCCGCATGTCGTCGAGCTGGGGTGGGACAAAAAGGAACCGATGCCGCTGCTTCGCGGACATCTCCTGGAGTGCGTACGCTCTGACGAATCCAGCGGTGGCGACGAGGGCATCCCAGGAGGCCCAAGAAAACGAAAAGGAGGCAAGGGTATCGGTATCGGAACCTTTTCCTCCCCTCAGGGAGCAGCTCTCGTCGCCCAGCCTGCTGCACTGGCTGCACGATCTCGTCGGGCAGCGCCATCGGGCGCAAGGCCTCGTTGGCAGCCGCGCGCACCAGCGGCCTGAACCTCGGGTCCCGGTGGTGCGCCAGGCTGAAGCCCGAGAAGTGCCTCCGGCGGCAGGCTCGCCAAGGCTCGGACGTCCATTCTCCGGCATCTTTCAGTTTCGTGTGCGCTGTGTTTGGCAACATGATCCAGGATGCTCCTCGATGTAGGGGGCCACGTGCGAGCCCTACCCCCACCCCCCCCCACGATTTCTGAGGGGGAGGGTGGGGCTCGCTTCGCTCGGGAGGCTCCCGAGCGAAGCGAGAACCCCTACCCCTCCCCCTCAGAAATCGTGGGGGGGTGGGGGTAGGGCTCGCACGTGGCCCCCGATCGACGGTCCTCGCCGAGCAAAAACGCACACGTCCGAGCGATGCCAAAGCAGAAGCCTCGGCCGGCCCTCGGCGGCCCTGGGCGGCCCTCGGGGGCCCTCGCGGGCCCTCGGCGGCGGCGGGGGAGACCAGGGCCTGATGTTGGCGGCGCGGCCCTGCAGCGCCGCGGGCACGATCTTCATCTTCTTGGCGCCGTGGGTCCCCGGCAGGAGGGGCTCGTTCGCCCACTGGCGCTCGAACTCCGCGGCGGTGGAGCGCGAGAAGAAGTTCAGGATGGCGTAGCCCAGGTTCCGGTCCTGGGGGCCGCCCGAGACCAAGCACAGGCATCTACACACTCAGCGCACGTATGCTTGGGTGGTTCCTGTACTCCCGGCCAGGGGGGAGGGGGAGGAGGAAGGAGGGAGAGAGAACGAGAGAGAGAGAGAGAGAAAGCCCGAGAGAGAGAGGAGGAGAAGCAAAGAGCCGATTACCTAACAAGAGTTTGCTAAGCCCCCCCGAGGCCCCGGGGGACGCCCCTCGATCTCTCCGGCGTGGGCACGGCACGCCCTCCCCACGGGCAGAGCCGAGACCCCCCGAAGCCCAGCCAGGGCACCCCGGAGGCAGGCAGAGGGCGCTCCTCGGCGCGGGCTTCCACTACGCACACACACACACACACACACACACCACCTCTTCCCCTCCCCCCCTCCTCCTCCTCCTCCTCCTCCTCCTCCTCCTCCTCCTCCTCCTTCTCCTCCTCCTCCTGCGACCCCGGCGGCGGAGCTCTCTCGCCGCGCGCGTCTGTGTGGCCTCGCCTTCGGGCCCCGCGAGCCCCAGGGATCGATGCGGCTCGAGGGGCGCCGCAGAAGGATGGGGTCCGGGGCGCTGGTCGTGATTCCCCATGGTGTCGCAGTGGAGGAGAAGAAGAAGAAGAAGAAGAAGAAAAAGAAGAAGAGAAATAAACAAAAATAAACAAACAAAGACAAACAACAAAAACAACCCAAAACACGCCATTGGCATAAACTGTCATCGGTCTGCGCGGAGTTCTTGGATCTGCGCTGGGCTTCCTCCCCGGCGCGCGGAGCGCGCCAGGGGCGGCGCCGGAGGCGCCGCCGGGGGAGGGGGGGCCAGCGCGGACGCAAGAAACCCGCGCGGAGCGCCAAAAAGTTTATGTCTATGGCGTCTTTCCTCTTCGACGCTGTTTCTCTGCATCGTCGGATCCCAGGGTCTGCGCTGACCCTGGCCAGGCCCTGATGGGCCTGTTTTCCACCATCACCACCATAAGTGGGAAGGGGGGAAGGAGGTGGAGGACGAGGAGGAGGAGGACCAAGAGGAGGAGGAGGAGGAGGAGGAGGAGGAGCAGGAGGAGGAGGACCCCCTCCCCCTCCAACTTATAGTGGAGGTGGTGAAAAGCACGCCCATCAGGCCCATCCTGGGCCCAGGCTTGGTGCATGCGCCCTCCAGGCTCGGGCGGGGACCACGGGCAACGCTCGGGGGGGGGGGAGGAACATCCGAGCTGGCCCCAACGCGATACGTTGAGGTCGGGCATGTCCCCATGCAGGCGGATTTGGACGAAGAGTAGAAAATAGTCCACATTTATATAATATATATATATATATATATATTACGTCGGTAAATGATTCAGAAGTGGTCAAAAAAGTCCATACAAAATATTCAGACATCTTCACAACAAAAAACAAAAACAACAACAAAAAAAACAAAAAAACGTCCCCTGACTACTTCTGTTACTACTGTCGAACCTCTCCCCTCTGGAGGGACCGGCCCGGCTCAACGCTACGTCGCCGATAGCTCGGCGACAGGGCCCCGGAGAGCAGGCCTGCCCGCTCCCCTGGGCAGGGTGGGCCCTCGGCCCCCGTCGGCGAGGAGTGGCCGGGGGGAGGCCGAGGCCAGCTGGAGGGGGAGGCCGTCCGCTGCCCCAGGCCCGGCACATCCCGGGCTCTGGCGCGGCGTTCTGCGCCCGCCTGCCCTGCCAGGGAAGGCGTGTACGCCGCTGCCTGGCGCAACCTGGGGCCAGGCCCGGGGCAGCGGCCACGTAGAGCTCTCGTCGCCCTGCTCCGTTCCAGCGGCGCGTTCTGGGATGAGGAGGAGGAGGAGGAGGAGGAGGAGGAGGAGGAGGAGGGGGAGGAGGAGGAGGGGGGGGGGGGGCACGTGCGAACCCTCTGTCCCGCACCCGCCCACGATTTCTGGAGGGGGAGGGGGAGGGGCTCGCTTCGCTCGGGAGCCTCCCGCGCGAAGCGAAAACCCCTACCCCTCCCCCTCCAGAGGGGGTAGGGTTCGCACGTGGCCCCCTACCAGCCCCACCTGGGCCTATGCTCAGGTCGGGCATGTCCTCCTACAGGCAGATGCTGGGTATCCAAAACGGAAAACAAGAGAATCAAGAGATCGTCCCCTGACTACTTTGTGACACCTTCCGAATGTTCCTCCTGTGGTGAATAGTCCTCCTGCAGAGAGACAGGCCCGACTTTAGCGTATGCCCCCCCCCGAGAGTTGCCCCTGGAGCGAGCCATGCACGCCGATCTTGGGCCCAGGACGGCCTGAAGGTGAACGTTTTCTTATTCGGCGTTTCGGCGTAGGGCAGAGGGGGGGGTACGGCTCCGGACCTCTGCTTCATGCGACTGTTTGCAACAGTGCGTCCTATGGAGCAGACTCCACCTGCTTGTAAAACAGGAGCCAAAAACAGCCGAGATCTACTCCATAAGGGGGGTGAGGGGGGGGTGCGAGGGCCCGCGCCGA